TTATTTTCCCTTAGGAGATCTAAAAATAAATTCTGCTACAATTTATGTTGCAGAGTGTTCTGCCTATGCTGTCTTCTAGTTTTATGGTCTCAGGTCTTTATACAAGTCTCTAATCCATTTTGAATTTATTTTTGTATGTGATGTGAAGGAATGTTCTAGTATCATTCTTTTAAATGTAGCTGTCCAGTTTTCCCAGCATCACTTATTGAATAAGAGACTGTCTTTTCTCCTTTATATATTCTTGCCTCCTTATCTAATCAGTCACAACTCCTATTAATTTTACCTCTCTAACATCTCTTCAAACTATGTGCTCTTTCCATGACTATATCCTCCAACTGAGTTTAGATCATCAAGGTCACTCCCTTGGATTACTCAGTCTTCTAACCAGTCTTTTTGTCACTGTTCTTGTCTTTTCCAACATTAGCCATTGGTTCCTCTTGAATTCAGGATAAGGTCTGGATCCTATGTGGTCTGCATTACTCTCATGACCTGGTCCCTGCTTCCCTTTCTAGCTCCTACTATCACACTTTCACCTTCCATCTTTTATTTCTGCTATTGTACTTGATAAGCTCTCAGTAATTGTTCATCGAATGAATGAATAATGGTGTATGTGAAAGGCATAGCTAGGTAGATTCAAGTAATGATGGTTAGGCCCTAGGAGAAGGCCTGTGATTCATGTTTCTACCAGAAAGCTGTTTAGGTAGGTGGTTTAGCCATATCTCGTTACTAATGTGTTAATGTCTGAATTTAATTTACTCATTTTATGTCATCTGTCTTTAGAGCAAACTTTTCAGTAAAAAATCAGAACAAACAACAAAAAACCAACCTCTCCCCAGTATTTCATCTTTCCTTCCCCAAATAACCTTGTGTTAGAATTATAGTGGCATCTCCACAAATAGCAACTAGTAGGTAGACTCAACACATGTCCTTACAATAGCAGTAGCTATGGGTCACACACTGTGTTTCTGAGTGGCAGCCACACGCAACAGATACTAACGTCATCACTCAGTTCACCTTCAACTGTGAAGGACTCCTGTTGACACCCACATTTAGTCGTTGGATCTTTGGTGGTAGTAAAGAATCTTCATCATCTCTAGGACCACAGATCCATTGTGTTTTGTCATATGGAATGAAACGAATGACTCAGGTGTCCTCTTTTCATTTGTTTAGAAGGTGTCATGTGGTAAGATCAATTGTAGAATACTGTAGGGCATCTGGGAATAATATCTTTAGCATCATTTAATTAACAGTGCTACTTCCGGTTTTGTTGACTGTCACAATCACCACATCTCTCTCATTGATTTTACCAAAATAATTGTTTTCTCTTCTGGTGGTCTGGCTTATTATTTTATTACAGTTATTTGGAAAGTCTTCTTACACCTGCTAATTAAAGAACAGTTCTAAGGTATGCAAGCTATTTTATTTAAAAAACTTGACTAGAAGTCATTTTTATTCATTTGCATTCTGATCTGCTTGTAGGATATTAAAGTGGAATTTTAGCTGCCCCAGTGATGAGACATTTGCGGTAAACAGTGTCACACACCATCTCTCCTTCTCACCTCTCCCTGACCATGTTAGACATCTGTAATTGGTTATGGCATTCCTTCTCAGTTCCCCTGCTAACAATCAGCACAGTACTTCAGGTCATCACTAGCAGTAATATTCAGCATTTGAGATCCCAGGACTAGGTTTCGAATATAATCCTTCCTTGTTCACTTTGCACAAAATACCTTTTTGCATAGCTATGCCTTAAAACTTGTCTAACTAAAGCTTATATTTTGTGTGCTATTTCTCCCCTGTGCTGTTCTTTGTAGTACCTATCAAACAGATTTTGTAACCAAATAAAGATTACTATAATAATGAGGATGGCAACAACTACAGAGTATTGAGTAGTTACCATGTACCAGGCACTGTGCTAAGTGCTTGTATGTATTAGTTCTTTCTTTCTTTTTTTTTTTTTAAAGATTTATTGGAATTTTTTTTTTAATGGAGGTTCTGGAAATTAAATCCAGGACTTTGCACATGCTGAGCACATGCTCTACCATTGAGCTATACTCCCACCCCTGTATTGTTTCATTGAATTAATGCAACAATTCTGTGTGAATTAGGGACCTTTACTATTCCCATTTTACAGATGAAGAAACT